TATAAAATTATAAAATTACAATTTATGTACATAACCCATAAAGAAACTTGTTTGCCCTATTGCAGTTCATGCCACTGGTAAAAACTGTGAATTGGCAGAGTGTCTCATTTATCAATACAAACAAATGCATGAGTAGGCATTAGCTCACACTATGTGCCATCTATTTGTTTTTAATTTTTACTTGGGGTGTCACAAGAGGAGTTATTTGCAAATGGCAGCATTTTTGTTCCGGGGTAGGAAGTGAACATCTTGCTGTGCTTTCCTCCCAACTGTGTAATTCACAAAGACCCTAAAGAAGAAGGAAAGTTTATTTACTTGTAATGGTGTTTCTTTGAATGGTCTCTGTGAATTCAGACAATCCATCTTCATTCCAGCAGTTGCACTTAATTGGGTTCTTCCTCAGCTGGTAATGTTAAAAATATTATCCTACTGAGGTTTGTTTTTTTCCTCCCCAGTGAACTGACCATTGTATAACTTTGAACAAATCTTTGTATAAATCAGGTGAAATTAATTTGTAAAACCACATGCAATTGCATGGCCATATTAAATTTAAAATCATCTTATTTCAGAAAAAAATTAACATGGATTACTACTGTATAAGTAGGTTACAGTTTAATTTCTTTACTGTGATCTGCTGCCTAAATTTAATATATGTGTTTTAATTTGTCGAGTGCTCAAGATGTTCCAGCATATTGCATTGGAGAAGTTGCTTTTTAAAGTACAGTATCAGTTTAATAATAGAAACTTGATTCTACTTTTTGAAAAGCATGGTGATGTTAGTCTTATATTTAATAGATACTATTTGACAGTTCTGCATATGGTAGCATTTATTTTTCTCTATAGTATTCTACTGAGTTTTCTTGCCTTCTTCCTTTTGCTGCAAAATGCCCATTTAAATGGCTTGTATTTCATTTACTTTATAGGACTCAAATAAATTTCACTGTGGCTATTGATTTCACAGCTTCAAATGGTAAGTGTTTTTACGTTATATTAAGTAAAACTGTATAGTTTTTAAAGAAAGTGTAATGTATTGTAATAATATATTAATCTGCTTGATTTGGTCTAGGAGTTTTCTGTGAATAAGCTGTAGTGCTTTAAAACCAAAGGTTCCCTATGTAAGCACAAAGGCTTACACAGTGGTGTTTTGATGATCATCCCTTCATGCTATGTCCTACCACATAACTTCCTATACTTTTCCACTTGATCCTGATAAAGGTGTGACAGTATGGGCAAAACTTCCTGTTCTTGCCAATCTCCCTGTTCTTGCCATGCTAACGCTCCCCACTGTGGGAACTCCACTACCAGGAGGATTTCCCTGCTTTCCACAAAAATGAGAGGTCCCTCCCCTCTATCTCCCCCTTTTCCCCCCTGTTGTTCTTTAGAAGGAATCATTGTCTGAGCAGCTTGGCATTGGCAATGAAAAGATCCCATTCTGCATAGGAATTGTAATAATCCTGTGCAGTTCGGCATTCCTTTTAGGAAAAATGGCAATGAAAAATCCTACTAGATCTTTTGAGAAAAAATTTTGTTGTAAAAGGAAAAGAGGAATTTTTCCCTTTTCTTTCTTAGAGGCAATGAGATTCATATCCCTAGTCCTCCAACCCTCTGAACCATATTTTCAGAAGACATAGGATTTACAGTACTGTACTGTGAAATGTTTTCTCCAGTATCCAGCCGAGTTCATTATCTAAAGAGGTCCACCTCAGCTTGCTAACAGAAAACCATAAAAGAGTTGTTAAAATTTAATCAGGGGCTTTAATAGTATATATTGGTTATCTTACACAGAGGCTATTAATGGACAACTACCAAGTAGCCTTGATGTTGCTGGCTTTTTTGTTTCTGGCTGAACATTAATAGAAATTGTTTAATTCAGTGAATGGAATATGTTGCAGATTGGTGGGATAACTGTGGGGAGAATAAATAATAAAAATAGGGTACGGCCAAGTCGACCATTCCCTTCTTCTGGAGGCATAATGGGACTGTGCAGCTTGCCGAAGGCAACACAGGCTGGCTCTTCTCCCAGGAGGCACAGCGGGGAATTGAACTTCCAACTTCTGTCTCCACAGTCAGCTATTAAACTCACTGAGCCAACCAGCCAAATAAGAAAGTTTTAGTCTAAATTTTGGCAGATCTTCAAACCACAACTCTTGATCCCATTTGCTTTCTCCCTCTCTTTTGTCTGTCTAACAGGGATTCGTATAAATTCGTGCTTCTACCTCTGGTTAAACACAGCTTCTTGTTCATACAAACCTCAAACAAGCCAGCATCTAAAAGCTCAGCTTCAAATGAGTCATAATTAAGATAAAACACTGTTTGTTGAGTTCAGACATCAGAGCCAGCAGAAAACCAGAAACAAGAGCTTCTAAGCTCTTTTACCAGCACATAGGAAGAAAACAGGAGGGAGCCTGCATGCCTAGAAAAAAAGGGCAGTCTTGTTCATGTCTCAGTAAACTGTAATCTACAATGAAGTCCATGATGTTCTCAGCCAAAATTCTAGCTTATTTCAAACAACTTTGAAAATTTGTAACAGTTTTGAAATGAAGCAATTGAAAGAAAAAGGAATCACACCAAGCATGTGCATGTTCACATGTTCTTAGGCATTCAAGATTCTCTCTGGACTTTGGCCCATCATACAGTGGTACCTCGCTTGATGAGGATAATCCGTTCCAGCAAAATTGCTGTAGAACGAAATCATCGTCAAGTGAAAGTAAAAAACCCATTGAAATGCATTGAAAACCAGTTCAGTGTGTTCAATGGGCGAAATACCTCAGCGTCCAGAGAAGATCCTCCATAGGGTGGCCATTTTCCGGTGCCTGTAAAGTGAAAAAGTCTTCCTAAACACAGCGGGGAGCCATTTTGAAACCTGACGATCCGCTGTTTTGATCATCGTAAAGCGAAAAATCAGTTCCCGAAGCAGGGAACCGATCATCATCAAGCAATTTTTTCCTATTAAAACATTGTTTTGCAATCGCTATAGCGATCGTAAAATACTCATTGTTAAGCTATTTCCTCGTCTAATGCGGTAATCGTCAAGCGGGGCACCACTGTATATATAAATTAATTTGAGTTATATATATTTGGATCAAATATTCAGATCCAAAGTCATCCTGTGAATCATTCTGTTTGACATAGAAGATGATAGTCAAGATTAAGCTATTACAGCACTCTCCCAATAGGTCTTTTAAATGCCTACTGAAAGTCATACACAAACAAGGAGCCCTAAATAAGATGCTTTTTTTCAACAGGAAATCCTGCACATCCAACATCACTCCACTATATGAACCCATATCAGTTGAATGCATATGGCATGGCATTAAGGGCAGTAGGTGAAATCATTCAGGATTATGATAGTGACAAAATGTTTCCAGCTCTTGGTTTTGGTGCAAAACTGCCTCCAGATGGAAGAGTATCTCATGAGTTTGCCTTGGTAAGAGATGGATATATTATCTTCCCCCAAACATTCTTCACTTATGTGCATAGTTTTTCATTTACTTTTTGTGGATCTGCATGTGCTCAAATTCAATCGTTGATTTTTATTAGTATTGTAGAAAATGCTGTCATTTTTGCCATATAATTTTACCTGCTAATGATGAGGCAAAGAAACAGAAACAAAGGAATCAAACTGTATTTTACTTTTTAAAACCATTCAACATTTAAGATTTTGTTGTTGTTGTTATGGTTTCCAAACAGGATAGTTATTTGTGCTTTTCAGTTTCCCTCACTTCTCTTAACAATGATTCTCTGATCAAAAAACAAAAAAAAAAAACTTGTTTTCTGTAGCAGTGCCCATTCTGTGTTTACTCATTCTTAATACATTTTTCTGTAAGCATTGACTTTAAAAGAAGCAGCATGCTTAGTTTTTGCTTTGTGCATTAATGTAAGTGGGTTGATGAAAGAATGTTCCCACAGGAATTAATGTAGATGAGTGGAAAAGCAGCATGCAGTAATGTGTCTCTAGAAGGTACTGTGATCCAATGATGGACTGGAAGTGTCTGTGCTAGAATTCACTCTTGGACTGAGAATGTTAAATTCCAGTTGCGGCAGCAGGAATGAAAGGGTGCCTGCCGGTTTGTACTGCTGAACTTCTGTATATACAGTGGTGCCTCACATAACGATGTTAATTGGTTCCAAACAAAACATCGTTATGTGAAAACATCGTTATGTGAAGCACCATTTCCCATAGGAATGCATTGGAAACCGGTTAATCCGTTCCAATAGGAATGGATTATCCGGTTTTTTCCCTCCCCCCGTGGCTTGGATCTGACCCACGGCGGCTAACTCAGCCATGGCTTGACTCCCTAGAGTCCGGCCATGGCTGGGGTAGCAGCCGTGGCTCAGAAGATTGGGGTTCGGTATTGGAGTTGTGCTGTTCATAGACTATTACGCTATTATGTTAACATTTCATAACTGCTATTCACAAGAGTTAATTCTCCAATTCCAACTTTTACTTACAGAATGGAAACCCTCAAAATCCTTACTGCAATGGAATAGATGGTGTAATGGAAGCATATTACATGAGTTTGAAATCTGTACAGCTTTATGGACCAACAAACTTTGCTCCTGTTATAAATCATGTAGCAAGGTAATGATTGTGGCAGCTCTTTCGGGAAAATCTGATACAGTAACTCTATATTGGCAAAAACCAGAATCCTGCTAGGGATTTACACTGGTGTTCATATAATGGCCTGAACTGCAGTGGTGAATTGCCACCAGAGATAGGCACCAACCACACATTGGTGCTTCTGTGCAGTTCAGCAGATTGGACCCACTGATGTTACATGGTGCTTTGGATTCCACACCCCGCCTCCTCCTGTGGGAGCCCACTCAGGAGGAGGAAGAGGGGCAGGGAAGCCCAAGGCACACATGGGAAGAGGCAGGGTGGGGAATCATGGTGCCCATGCCACATCTGTGGGCCCAGTATGCCGAATTGCAGTGAAGCACAGTTTGTGCCCAGCTCTAATTGCTACTAATTAACAAGCTGCTCACATTTTTGGTCACACACTGATTTGCCTGACTAATATGAGTGTGCGTAGAAATTCTTCAGTTAGTGGCAACTGTGGTGGCAATTCACCATCGCAATTTATGTACAGTGGTGCCTTGACTTATGAACATAATTGGTTCCGTTATCTCTGGTCATAACTCGAAATGGTTGTAAGTCAATGCACTATTTCCCATAGGAATGCATTTAAATGCAATTAATGTTCCAACCAAAGGAAAAAATCACCAAAAAAATCACTGCAGGACCCTTCGGAAATGTGATTAATCTCTTCCGGCCGAAGGGGGATGGGAGAAAAGCAATCAGTCGTGCAAGACCCATTGGAAATGCAAAGAAAGCAAAGCAAAAAGCAAGCAGATTATGCAAGACCCATCAGAAATGCAAAGAAAGCAAAGCAAATCTCAAGCCGATCATGCAAGACCTATCGGAAATGCAAAGAAAGGAAAGCAAAAAGCAAACAGATTGTGCAATACCCATTGCACATGTAAAGAAAGAAAAGCAAAAAGCAATCAAACATGCAAGACCCGTTGCAAATGCAAAGAGAGCAAAGCAAAAAGCAATCAAGCGTGCAAGACCCATTGATAATGGGGGGAACAAAAAAAGCAACCAACCCCCCCAAGAATGGGGGGGACAAAAAGCAAACAAACTCCGCAAGACCCATTGGAAATGGGGGGGAGAAAAAAACACAAAAACCAACCAAACTCCGCAAAACCCGTCGGAAATAGGGAAAAAAACACCAAAAAAACAAGACCCATCACAGCACAGAAACATAACTCCCCTCAGCCCAAAACTACATTGCAAAAACCACCCAGAACAGTTTTTAGAAAGCAGAAAGCAGCACCTTACCTTACCAGACAGTCCGCCTCCTCCGATCTCACTCACTCTAACAGTTGGGGCGAAAGAGCTACAAAGAAGCAGCCTTCTCACTACCAATAGTTAGCTATTTGAATTCCCCACCTTTTTTCCCTGACTTTTTGTGTTCGTAACTGGAAGCTCCGGCCACAAGTCGAAACAAAATTAGCTGGTTGTAACTCGAAATGGTTGTACTGTATGTCAAGACGTTCGTTAAGTTGAGGCACCACTGTAGTTACATTCATGCCATCTAAATCTCCAGCAGGGTTCTAGCCAATATAATTTATTTTTACTGCAGAGTGCAGTATACTGTAGCTGAGTTTGTGACTATTGAAAAGGAATAATCACTAAAATTTTTATTAAGCAAAAAGGGAGCTACACTGTGTGTGTGTATGCCAGCAATCTCCCCTGCAAAATAATGTCATTTCTCTTATGTTGATATAGTATATACAATAAGATTTTTGCCACTATAATAGTGCATTATTTAAACATTAAATTGCTTATGTACATCTCTGTATGCTGTGTTAAAATCAGTTTGTCCTGCATCTGTTACTTTATTACATGCTATGTTCTTAAATATTTATATATATATGCACACCCAAAGTAAGCTGTTAAGTATGCATAAGAATATTGTGATCTTATAGTCAATAAACACACTAATTACATATTTCAAGCTTTTCTTTTTAAGTGTTTCATGTGGACTTTTTAGTCTGTTTCACAGATGTAACAGCATTCCAAATGTTTTGTTTTCTTATGTTAAAAGTCTGACTAGTTGTTGTTTTTTTCTTTTAGATATGCTGCCTCAATAAAAGATGGCTCCCAGTATTTTATTCTTCTCATTATTACAGATGGGGTCATTTCTGACATGGCTCAAACAAAGGAGTCCATCGTGAATGTAAGTTGTGCTTAACTTGATTTGGGATTAAACTATTGTATTTTTTAAAACAGCATTATTAAATAATGTATATCGACTTCATGAAATACATTTGATTTACAGTCGGTGAACCAGCCATGGAGGTGATAAAAAGTAAAAGTCATATTCAGTGACTCTTATAACAGTTAAAAACAGATAATCTGATAAACTGGTCTCTATGAGATACAATAATATTAAGAATTTTTTTCAACTTATTCGGTGATTAAAAAGCATTAGATGCCTTCCTGAGATAACTGTGTGATATGCATGTATCCGTGAATGCCTGGGAACTCCTTTGGGGAATCCTACAGAATCAGAGACAGATGCTTGCAGTGTTCTGGAACAAACCTGCCACTTTTTTCCTTCAAAAATTCAGTTGCTCTACTAGCATTTTGCTCTGTTTTAGCCTTTGCTGACAGCCTCTGATTTTCCCAATTTAAAGACTCATGAAGGCAAATTACAACCTATTTAAAAGAGTCTACTTGCTCCAATCTGTGACAATCAAGGGGCACACATATTTAAACTGCTTTTTTTGGATCATCAGCATCTTGGATTTCACATAATTTGTCGTTAACATTTTCCTAAAGAAATTGGCAAAAGCAACTAGCTATCTTCTGACATACGCATGTCTGGGAATTGACTGCATCACTGGCATACAGAAAAATTAAAATGTAATATATTCAGTTTAAGGGAATGAGAATCAATTGAACTGAAGAAGAAAAATCAGTCAGATATAATTTAAATAGAGTGGGGTTAAAGCGTAGCTTTGCCATTCTCTGTGAACTGAGCAACTCACTTCTGTTAAATATAGATTCATGTAGCTTTTGTCTTCTGTTTATAGAACTTAGCTTAGAAATAGTAAACACATACTGATAGTGAAATAAGCCATATCAAGTTTTCTCCCTAGAAACTCCCTAATGCAGATTTTGAAATAAAAAGGCAGCGAACAGTTGTTTTTTGTGTGTGTTTTAATTTGTCAGCCAAATAAAATGGGAAAGATTATGATATCTCATCTAAATAATTTACCTGGCCTTTGAAGTTATTAAAAAGGAAAGCAGTCTTAACTTTTGCCTATAATAGAATGTAAATGTGTTTGTTTATAATTGCTTGGACCTCTTCTAGCATTTATAACTTTGAATTATATTCAATAAACAACACATGGAAAGGCTGAAATCCTGTTGTGCAGTTACACAAAAGGTGAAATTTTCAGCAGCAAATTGCCATAAAATAAGAAATCCCTGTAGGGATTATCTGTTGCATGCTTAGTCACACATCTCAGGTTGCAGCAAATGATGACTATGGAAATTACTTGATTTGGGTTTTAAAAGTCAACTAAAAACATGGTTGTATGTTCAGGCCTTCCCTCCTGTCAATATTTAATTCTTTCTTTATTTTTCTTTCATTTATTATTTGTTTTATTATTGTATGTGTTAGGGACTGTTTGTAAAATCCTTATGTTTTATTGTATACACCTTATTGGAAGCCGCCCAGAGTGGTCGCCCAGACCAGATGGGCGGGATATAAATCAAATAAGTAATTAATTAATTAAGTAAGTAAGTAAGTAAGTAAGTAAGTAAGTAAGTAAGTAAGTAAGTAAGTAAGTAAGTAAGTAAGTAAGTAAGTAAGTAAGTAAGTAAGTAAGTAAGTAAATGTGCAATGAGACTTTGGCCAGTATAGCTCAAAAACCAAAGGACTTCATTCATTCATTCATTCGTTCATTCATTCAGTTTTACAGAAGTATATCTGTCCCACTGCATAAGATCTCAGCTTGCCACAAAACATTCTAAAACAGTTCATAACCTTAAAATACTTTAAACAAAAGCAAATCGATAAACTAATTATTGGAAACCAAGACTTGATCTCACTAGGTGGTGAATGTTCAGGTGAACAGCTGACGTCATTTGGTGCTGAAATAAAGACAATGTTGGCACCAGTCTGGTGTCCAAAAAGAGGGCATTTTACAGACAGCTGAGAAATATCTCTGCTAAGTCATCACGTGGCCTGTTGGTCCCAAAAGTGAATACACAGGAGTCCTGCTTGACTTCTCCCCATAGATCAGGCAGGTATATATAAGAAATATTTTCTCACACATCTAAGTTCCAAGAAATTTAAGGCTGTGAAACTCCTTATCAAGACCTTGAATTCTGACTAGGAGTGCATTAGCAGCTATTGCAGTTCTTTTGAAATTTATGTCATTTGGCTTCCTGATCCTGCTCTTACCTTGCAGAGCCACTCCAGTAGGATATAATTAACCATGGCATCAAAAGATGCTAAGAGATCTAGGTGAGTCGATTGTATGGTAGCACTCCCTGGTGTCTCTTCTGAAGCAGGTCATCCATCTGTGTAGCAAAGGCTGTTTCCATTCCCAAAACCCAATTGGAAGCCAGATTGAAACAAGTCTAGACTCAAGGAACACAGGGTACTAATAAATAATACAATAATAAAAGCACGACAAGTATTCTTCAATGAATTTCGGATGGATGGCAAAATAGAAGAGGATTGGAACAGTGCTCTAGCAGTATTATAAAGTCTTTAGTTTTCCAGTTTCTTCTTGTCTCTTTTTAAAAAACCAACTGGAAAACTATAGACTTTATATCCTTGTTGTCACAAATCTATAAACTATTAACAAAAATAATAATAAATTGATAGGAAAAAAAATAGAATTTTGCCAGTCTGTCAAACAATCAGGATTTAGGAAGAATTCTGAGTACATCTCCTCACCTTTCTACTATTAGAATATATAATAAAAGACACAACTACAGATTAGTAGAACAGAGTATAGAAATGCACCACTTATACAATCAATTTATAAACAAGCAGCAATGGTAATACAGTTACACAAAAATATAAGGGAAATACTGTAACGTGAGACAAAGAGACATGTTGTGTCCAAAAATATAACAGTATTAGGGAATGTGTTCAGAAATCTCAGTTAGGAATATAAGTAAATTATTATCAGTGGAAGGTAACTCAGTCATCCTATACGCACCAATTATGTTATAGTTATAACAGAAAAACTGGGGCTTGTCTACATGGCTTGTTTTGGAGTGGGCTGGTATAAGCTAACTGTGGTCACCTAGGGTCGACTAGAGGTTCACTATGTCATTTGGTGCAATTCTCACATCCAAATGGTGTGCCATCTTCAAGTGACCCTCTTTGGTTCAGCTCCTTCTGCTGTCAATTTGCCATATTCTGAAGTGGTTTAAGAAGAGAGCTACTTCACATAGGCAAAATATACCTTTCCTGTGCTCCTTGGTGGATGGGCAGAAGTTTTCTGGGTTTTTATTTAAGACTATTAGGGCACTGTAGATGTGCTGCATTACTAATAAAAATATTTAATATTTGAAAATTCCTCCTAGAAGGATGATGAGACAGGAGGCGGCAAAGAGGGGTGCTTCCCCCCTTTTCTTTAACTTGTCTTAAAGATCCAGATGTGAACCTGCCTGCAACCAAAACTATCACCAAGTATCAATCAGTGGTCGATCCGGCAGTGGGCATTTTTTTGACTAGCCTTTTAAGACAAGGCAAAGAAAATATTTTAAAAAGTGATGCAGTGTATCTACTCTAATACAGTGTAAAAAAATTAACTTCCCCTGCTTCTCCACAGAGCAGAGGACGTGTTTGATTTACCAGCATTTTGGTGTGACTGTTTTCTTAAACCACTTCACAATATGGGAGATTGACAGCAGAAGACAATTCAGCAGCCACAAGCTTGCTTTGGTTCATTTCTAGCAATTACACACACTGCAATCCTACATGCACCAAAAAAGTAGACAGGAACGCTCTGGGGACGGACTGGCTTGCTCTAGCAATTATGTCATGTGATCGGCAGAAGAAAAGAATGAACCAACCAGTCCCTGAAGTGGTCAGACAGTGGGCAAAATACTGCTTGATTGCACTCTTAGATGACTTACCAAGTATGTTGGAATAATTGAACATTGAATCAGACCAAGTTGGTTTAAAATTAAATAAACAAAAAAGGTCCAAGAAAAAAATAGAATATTATAAATTGATGGCTGTCATATAGAATGTATTTATCTGAGGTGAGTTATAAACTGGGGGAAATTTTATCAGAAAGCAGAAGTGTAGAGATGAGTAAGATTTGCATGGTCAGCTTTTTATAAATAAATTAAATTCTTACAAAGAAAGAAAATCCTGTAAAATTAAGATCAGTAGATAATCAGTGTGTTGACAGTAGTGTACCTGTACTGGCTCATGCTGCACAGACATGGGATCTAAAAATCCATGATGGAAAACCTCACAAAAACTGAAAGAGCAGTGGAGAGGCAGATACTAAATACCATATAGATAAATATCATATAGCTAAAGTAAGAAAGACTAAAATAGCATATAAAAGAACAAATAGTACTGTTAAAATAGAGATGGTAGACCTCACCATGAGACAAGTAGGTGGACAATGGAATAAGGAAATAAATGAATGACAGTTGCATACTAGATTGATGGATGATTTGAAAAGATCAGCAAGACTAGCATTGATTAGAATAGAAATAGATTTGTGGAGGGAAAAAAGGGAGGCCTATATACAACCTTGGATGTTTGGGTGAATGAAGGAGGGGGCGTAAGGGTACCAGGCAGTGGAACTACTGAAGGAAGACCTAAAACAGTGCCTTTGTGGAAGGGGGAAAGAGGAGATGAGTGGGTGAATTTGACATATTTTTTTAAGACTTGAATTTGAAAGAACCAAATTATTTTTCATTGCTTGTCGGATATATGATAGCAATTAAATCATATAAATGTTAAGGAGGAAATAAACCAAATAGTTTGGTTTTAGATATTTATTTCATTGGTTTGAATCTTTTGAATCTCCAGATGTATAAAAATTTACATTTTAAAATACTGAAAATTATATAAAATTATATAATGATAATTCTATTTTTTCCTTGTTTTAAGGCTTCAAGGCTTCCAATGTCAATTATAATAGTGGGAGTTGGACCAGCAGAATTCGATGGTAAGTATGTATCCTGGTTTTAAAATGAGTTTTAGAAAGACCTGCCAGTAGAATTGTGGGTATGTTATCAAAAAGGCAAAATACTGATTCTATACATTAATTTATATTTATTTTGTACTGTGTATTTTCTTGTCCTTACAAAGTGAACTCTTAAGTACCTTACATAAGAAAACATAATACAAAGTAGTGCAACATAAAATTGCAGAAAGCAGATATGAGTAGTTATGATGGAAGTGGCAGAAAGAAAAATTGAGGAAATTAATCTGTAATAGGTTCGGGAGCAGCTACATTTTGGCTAAGCCTCTGAAAAAATTAATTTGCAAGGGTCTGTTGAAAAAACTAGCAGATTGTTTTGCTAAGTGGAATGTCTTGCTTCTGGGAGCTATCTCAACAGTTTCATATTCACCATTGGTATCTGAAGCAAAGACATTAAATGGACCATGTAGGGAAGGACATTTGGAGGAAGGCAGATCTTAAACTGCCCAAGTCGCAAGCTGTTAAAAAAGGCAACTAGTGCAGACCCAACAAGATGGGAGTAATGTCTTTGACACACAAGTGAAGCAACAGTGTGGCCGGAGAATTTTGCATCAACTTTTGAATGTTTTTCAAGGAGAACTTCAAATAGAGAGCTATGGTAGACTAGCCTGTCAAGACATCGCTGACCCCTTTAAGGTTCCAGCAGGAGAATAGAGCATGGGGCACTATATATATTTTTGGGGTTTTTTTTCTGTTGTTGGAATTTATACAGTTTGCACAGAATGTTTCTGTCTAAATTAATAAGGTTGAAGTAATATATTTGCATGTTAATTATGGTAGTTTCAATTGATTATTTAACTGAACTATATTTCACAAGATTTTGTGTATAATAATTTTGGTGTTGGCAGTGAACATATAATGCTGAGGTCACGTACTGATACTCGGAAATTCTGAACGTTTTGTAGATAAAAGAGTTGTGAGCATCATTCTAGAGGTCTTCTTATCTGGACATAAAATAAGTAACACAGCATCAGCACCATACCTCATTTTATTTTATATTTTTTCTATAATATTCAGTGCCCAGAATGTAAACAGAATTGAAATTACATAATTTACATTCTTATGATTGAAGATTATAGGTGGGTCATGTTTTTTCAGCAGTAGAAATGAATTATTTAAAGTTGTTGGAACATCCATTCTTAACAGTTTGCTGGTAGTTCAACAACTTCTATGCTTAGGCAATGCAATCTATGTAAATTAATAACAAAACCAATCCAGTGCTTTTCATATAAACCTTTGTACAGATAAAATTCAAACATAAAAATGATTTATATGTCTACTTTTTTAAGCTATGGAAAAATTGGATGGCGATGAAGTAAGACTGTCATCAAGAGGAGTATATGCAGAAAGGGATATTGTTCAGGTGAGATGGAAAAGTACTTCTGTCTAGCAGATCTTTTCAATGTTTATTGTATCTCTTGCATTTGTATGTTTTCTGTTGGGTGTTATTCAGTGATATATTCAGATTGTCCTTTCAGGAAAGCATACCAGAAAATTTCAGATTACTGTAGGTAAGTCAGGTCGGTCGCTTCCTTCAATTTGGAGGTGAGCAGCAGCCAGCACAAGCACCCCACTCTATTCATTTCTTGAGAGAGACAAAGGGTCTCTATCCTCATTAATACAAATATGAATGTATCCTCATTTTCATTACTTTAAATAAATGTAAATAAATTTTAAATCTTCAAAACTGAAGATATTTTGTTGAGTGTCAACAGAGGCACAGCCACTGGAGAAACCAAAGAAACAGTAGCAGTCTGGCACCATTACTTTTTAACGTTTGCACAAATTTGCAGTCAACATACCCATGCTCCAGGAGTTTCATCTACACTGATGATCTTGCTTTCACACTCCAGGAGAAAATTTTGAGTCCATTAAACACCAGCTAACCTTTGCAGTAGAAGATCTTTCTTTCTATTAAACAACCAGCTGAGACCAACCCCTTCAAAAACACAGGTCTGTGCCTTGCACTTTAAAAAAATAGAGAACCATAGAGGAAGCTGCAGGTTAGCTGAATGCAGTGTTTGTGTATCAATGAATGCAGAGTTTATGTGTCTGCAGTTTATGCCCTACCACCTGTACAAAAGTTCTAGTAAATGGCTGAGATCTTTTGTACAGGTGGCATTATTGTGGCCTTCAACATCCTCTTCATGTTATCCTTTTGAATTGCTTGAGTAGGATGGATTTGAACAACATGCTTTTTCTTTGTTCTGGTTTTGCCTATTGAGCAGGATTTAGAAGATTATGCCCACAGGGATTATAATTCAACCCTGTGGCCATGAACATACAGGATTCCACGTTGTTCCTCATGCTATTCAATATCAACATGAAACCTCTAGGAGAGTCTTGGTGTATAGTCTGGGTTGACATCAATATGCTGATGACACCTTGTTCATCAGGGTGGGAAATGGGTACTCTGGTGTTGGTGATCAGTAGAAGACATCATGTATGGTTAGGTAATTCTGTTTTCGTTGATGTTGCATTCTTCCTGAAAGGTCAGACTGGTATATTTAGTGAGTGCTCCTGTATTTTTATGTAGTAGATGTGGTTAGGAGGACTTTTGCACAGCTTAGAGAAGTTGAATTCAGCCAACTGTTAAATGTGTCATAGTAGCATCTAGGCAAGCACTGACTCTGAAAAGTTTTCAGAACTGCAATTGCCACAGTAGTGTCAGAAGCCTGTGATGTAGATCGTGATGACTTCATTCTGTTTAATCTGTACTGACTCCTGATTCATTTTCAAACATAGTTCTACACACTGGTCATTACCTTTGAAGTCCTATACAATTTGGGACCATTTTTTTTCTAGACCATCTCTTGATACTTAAACCATTCAGTCCACTGAGATCATCAGTGACAACCCTGTTCTCTGGAACAATTGGTGGCAACACAAACCAGAGTTTTTTCCTTAAAGTAGTAGCACCTTAGGTTTCCCCCTGAAAATTCAGTTGCCCTCACCATTCAAGTGTTCTGTGATTCAGTGGAACAGTTTTGTTTTGCTAGGTTATCTGTAGGGAATTTTTTTTCTTAGTTTTTATTTTATACTTTGCTATTGTGGTTTTGATTCCCCCCACCCCCAATATAGAATGGCTTAATTTTTTTTCGTATGTTTTAATGGATTGTTTCATTGTGTTTTTATTTTATGGCATGTATGATCTGAAGGTCTTTGGCATGAAAATAGTCTAAAATATTATTAGAACAGAATATGACCGAATAGAGAAAAATTACTTGGAAAGGTTCTAAATAAAATAAAATGGAGAAGACTTCTACTAATAAGATAATTTTATTATTAAAATAAATAACAGTTTATTTCCAGGGTTTAGCTTTTCATTCTCAATTATGTTATAACAGCAGTGTTGATCAATCTCCCTCCAATTTCATTTCAGTTTGTACCATTCCGGGACTACATTGACAGAACTGGAAACCACATATTAAGTATGGCCAGGCTTGCTCGAGATGTCTTAGCTGAGATCCCAGAACAGTTTCTCTCCTATATGAGGGTCAGAGGAATCAAGCCATCTCCTGCACCTCCTCCATATACACCACCTGTTCACGTAGTGCAGACTCAGATATGAGTGCTCTGAATACATCATAGATTTTGCAAACTAAAGAGCCCTGTTTAAAAAGAGTTCTGGTACAGCAGTGTGCTTAATGAGCCAATGAGCTGAGGCCAAGTGTCCCACTTGGTATGCAGTAGAAGCTTCCAGTGGGTTTTGCAGCAAAGTCAACTAACTATAGACACCAAAATGTCCAGTCTGGTTACATGCGCAACTGAAAAGCTTTTATGTATGAGGAGCAAAAAGGTGGTGTTTGTTTCTGAGTTTCATTTTATTTCTAACATAAAAAGCTATTACTGTCGTACGTTTTTGGAGAAAGCACAAGTCACAGGTTCAACTCAGAAGTCCTTGTCTTTCCTGTTTTAAAATGTACATACAATGTGAATGCAATTCCTATGTATCAATGTTTACATGTTACTACTTTTGAAAGTTAACTACTTTTTTATAATTATTCTTAATCTTAATAATTTGGAATACTGAATTGTCTTGTATCTTGCAATAGTGAAATCCACAAGAGAAGCAATATCTCTCTGAATGATTGTCCAGACAAAAACGACTGCAAACTAAGGGTGGAATGTGGGGCAGGGATGTGGGACAAATACATTCATAGGTCTCAATAAAGGAAACACCTCACTCAAAGTGCTCAATAAAGAATTCATCTGACACATTTGAGAATAAGCTTCCAAAATGTGAATACTGTAAGAATATGTATTTTTGCGAAATATTCCAGTTCCTGAAATAAATTGTGTTTACATTTTTTTAAAGACTGATTATGCTGGCATAATACATTTGAACAACATAGTGTAATCCTAGGAGGTGGCTGCATCAAATATTTTCCAGGCCTATAGTTCAGCTCACATAATGTGTAAAATCTGTAGTGTATCTTGCATACAATAGAGCTTTGGTATCATATTGCTTTCTGCAGGTGGATATTTGATTATGAACGACTTAAAGCTCTTATGCAAATTGTTTGTTGGTATGAAGTTTCTTTCGATTGTCCATTTTAAAGGGATGCTAGCTCATTTTGAGTTGGCTGTTGACACTGTCACACTGCATTGTAGGGCACACAAATAGTAATCTATTAAATAACTGAATTAAAATTGCACAGCTATGTTGCTTTGTGCACAACTTTGTATATAGAACTACTCAAATATTTTATGATATGCCTGTTCTTATTCTAATTATCAGATGTTTTGCATGTACAGTTTTTAAAAGAAATTCACATTTTTGTGAGTATTTGTGTCAAAACTTTCAATTAGAACAAACGGCCTTAAATCTCACAAATATTTCAGAAATGATTGTGAATTGCCTTCAGATACTGGATGACATGGGGTCAAAATTGTAATTGCCTTGTAATGTGTAACTCTTTTTTTGGCACATGACCTGTTTACTACTTTCTTTATTACTATACATGTTATTACTGAACAGTATTAAATTAAGGTGCATTTTTTTAAAGCATGAAAGAGATTTTTTTTCCTGGAAGAGTATATATACATAACATTAATGGTATATAATCCTATGTAATACAAAATCTTCCATTTTTAAATATATTAAAGATCCTTAAAATATTCTCATACTGGAAATTTCTTTTCTGAGTATTATAAAAATCAGAGTGAGGACTTAATTGATTTATGTTGAATGAGTAAATGATCAAAAGTCAGGAATTCCAGCTACAAATATACTGAATTCAGTTCTAAAAAAAAAACCCAGTTCATGAATGTGGGATGTTGTGCTTCTGTGTTCACAATTCTGAATGACAGGAAGTAGCCTGATATTGCTGCGTAATATTGTGCCTGCATTTTGAGCAGAAAAAAGGATCCCAAAACTTACACGGCAAAGAGCAGCCAGAACGTTGACAACACCAGTGGAAGCAGTCAAGATAGTCTACATAGGATACCCTCTTGTGCTCACTACCGTTCACAAAGTGACACTATGAAAGGGAAAATCCCAGAAGCTGTCTCCTTTTTTCAACAATTAGCGACTTCTCACCCAATCACAAAGCAATTGTCAGGGCTGTTTTTCAACATGTGGATGTTATTGAGTAGAAGAGAGTATCATGTAGATCATCTTGATTGCTGCCATTTTGCTAGGTAAAGCGTGGCATACTTTTTCCTGCTGGCAATGTAGGCATGATCTTGTGCAGTAATACCAGGCCATTCCCTGGTGTTTGGAATCATAGATACAGAAGCACAACATCCCATCCTGATGTTTCGAATCATAGATGCAGAAGCACAATATCCCATATTCATAAACCAGAGGTTTTTTGAAGAACTGAATTTCCTTGCTTTTGAAAACAGGAGTTTAAATATACATATGCTACACACAAATTCAATCAGAAATTTCCCTCATATTGAATTACCCAGTGGTAGAGGATTCCAGAAGATGAGCATGTGATCTCTACTATGGTTAGTGGGAGAAGATATAAGTGTGAAGAGCTTAGATGTGTCTGTTGTCACTCTGTGTCAAAATATTTTAAAAGCCTGTTTTGTACGTAATGAAATGGTGAAGCAAAGGTATGAATAAGAGCAATACATACAATGGAAAAACATACACGCCCTCTAACCTCTTGGGTAAACTAATGTTGCCATGCCCACTGTGCCAAATGCAAACTAGAAAGCTATGTTCCGGTTTCCAAATCCTTTCATTGGGGTAGGCAACCTGTGAAAGAAAAGTGATATCAGACCAAAAGCTCTTAAGAACATGTTGCATGCACGTTTTCCAAAAGATGTCCCTTTGTCTTTTGGGGGGGAAAAAATTTAAAGGAGGAGAAGTGTGAGTTAGCAAAGATTGTCACTGGGAACCAAGATCAGAAAAAAAAATTAAAGGTGGAGAAGTGTGAGTTACCAAAGATTGTCACTGGGAACCAAGATCAGAATCATCCATACTATGTGAGAGGCTAACAGTGAAGAAAGCCAGGGACTAAAATCAACTCATTAGAAATTGGTGTTGGAGAAGAGCCTTACAGATACCTCAGAAAGTCAGAAAAGTAGGTACTCAGTCAAGTCTGAACTCACTAGAACAAAAATGATAACCTGAGGCTGTCATATCATGCACGTATGAAAATACAGAGCTGATCAGAAAAGACAATATTGCTGGTAAAGGGGAGGGGGCAGTAGGAAGAGAGGAAGACCTGACATGGGACACATTATCTCAATAAAAGAAGCCTTGGATATTAGTTTCCAAGAATACAGCAGAACTTACTGGAAAAGATAATATTGCTCAGAAGGAGGCAGTAGGAAGAGAAGAATTTAATATGAGATACTGTTGATTTGCAAGATCTGAGCAGTGTTAATGATAGGACATTTTACAGGTCATTAACTCATAGTCAC